TAAAAATGTGTTTGACACAATGGGTGTACATATGGATTGTTAAAATAGCTATAAGAGCCCCCAATAAAATGATTAAAAAATAACAATGACAAAAATCCAAGATCAGAGGAGGAAAATATATTATAGTTTAAATTCTGGGTACCTGATTTGTAGAAGGGTATAGATGAGGGTGAAAACCTATAAACCATTCGCAGAGACCCCATGGGAAATAAGCCTTTCTTGAATACCCTTGGACCATTGACCAGGGATGTGAAAAACACTGGCCACTGGCAGAGTGGATCAGAAAAATGAATAATAGCAGATGCAGTTAAAGTTTACCATCTTATCATTTGTTTTCCCTTTTAACCCATTCTTAATTCCTTTTAAAATTATGATTCCTTTCTGCTTTCTTTGGATTGCAAAAAAATATATAACCAACATCATTGAATGAGTTGCATAGAAATTGTTAAAATAAAACCTAATCCGTTACTTTCACTGAAGACACAATTAATAAAAGAAAATTCATATGCATTTTGTTTCAACTCATCCATCGTAATTCCCTCAATATACTTTCTTTCACTCTGCTTTCTCCTCTGTCTTCTGTTTCTGCTCTTCCTTCTTTCCACCCTCTGAACTTTGCTGGTGAGTATAGGCTGGCCTTTTGGCCTCCTGCCATTGACCCCCCTGGTCCCCTTACAGAGGGTGGGTTCAGGTCCTGACCTGAAGGGCGACCAAGAGCCACAGTCTCATGGGCCTCACCTGTCTCTTTCCAACCACCAAGGCTGGTTGGAGCTTTGTTCCCCATTTCTCTCCCATTCTACCCGGGACCTTGCAATGTGACCCTTTAAGAACAGCTGGTCGTGGTAGCTGGGCACCATCTAGCTCTTGGCTTCAGGGGCGGACATGGATGTTTGCGTGGTCCATTAGTCCATTGGACTAATTGTTTCCAAATGTCTTTCCATTTTCATCACACTTCTTCCCAACAATACCGGCACCTTAGCTGGCTGCTCACAAGCTTTTAGGAGCCCCGTCCCTGCTCACCCGGGGCGGATGCAGAACATTGCTTCTGTGTACCATGTCAATAGACCTTGGTGTCCCAGAGACGGTGGCCTTGACCCGTCAGGCCTGGCAATGCATTCCTCCAAGGAGTTTAGTTACGTCTACAGTATCCATAACTTCCCCCCCTTGTGCTCCACCACCTTCATGGCTAGAAGCAAAGATCAGTCCACACATACAACTGCCCCTGTCGTTTTTCTATATATTCATGGGTATTCACCCACTCTCCTTCCCACGCCAGTTAGTCTGCATGTCTGTCTGAACGTCTGCTTGTAGATCACAGCGATTGCAGTCTTGTTTAAAGACCGGTATTTGTCTCTGTTGCCATGAACTCTTGCAAACCTCCCAATGTCTTGCCTTGCCTCTATCATTTATTTTCCAACTATCCGTCCTCCCTCTTTTTGTTTGTCATCCCCTTCAACCACGTTAATATAGCCTGTGACTTTCCACCCGCCCTGCCCTGCACCCCCACCCCCCCAACCTCTGGGGCCCATCAAAGTATGTTTTGTTTAGTGTGAAAACCTTTTCTTGACTTTTTATAACAGTGATATCACATAATATCTGTCCTACTGTGATTGACTGATTTCATTCAATGAGCATAGCTCATCCACCAGGCTCATCCATGTTAATCCTTGTTACAGGGTGCAGACTCATCCATGTAATCAAGTGTCTTGCGGATTCATCGCCATTCCTTAACGTTGTGTAGCAAGTACAAAGTCTATTGACCAATCTTCCAGCAACGGGTATTTAGGCTGCGTCCATCTTGTTGCCATTGTGAATCGTGCTGCGATGAACCTGGGTGTACCTGTCACTCTTCCTGTGGAGGCTCGCACTGCTTTTCAGGGTATACGCTGTACGCCAAGGAGAGGTAGGAGGATAAAGACATGGCTTCCCCATAAAATTACGGTCTTGAAAACCCACAGGGGCATTCCGCCCCGTCCTATAGGGTCCTATGAGTCCGCATCGACTCGATGGCAGTGAGGATCATATTTAAGTCGAGGCATTGCTGAGTCCTCTGGTGTGCTTAGTCCCGACTTCCTGAGGAGGCGCCCTGCTGCGCTCCACAGCGCTGTGCCCTTGTGCAATCCCACCAGCAGCGGGTGAGGGTGCCAGTCACTCTGCACCTTGGCCAGCATATGTTGCTTTCTCTTTCTTTAAAACTTTGTTATTAGTGGAGTGAGGTGGTATCTCCTTGCTTTGATTTCCATCTCTTGCGTGGCTAATGATCGCAAGCGGTTCTTTATCTGTTTGTTGGACACCAGAATGGCTTCTTTGGTGAACCGTCTGTTCACGTCCTCTGCCCATTTTCTCAATTGACTGTTAGTTGTTTTCTTGTTGAGGTGTTAATGTTTTTAATAGATTTTAGCAATGAATGCCTTATACTTGCCAAAGGAGAGTTCCTCCCAGCCTGTCAGATCTCTTTTCACTCTTTCAGTGAAGTCTTGTGAAGCCCATATGTGTTTAATTTCTAGGAGGTGGCAATCATCTAATTTGTCTTCTGCCATGTGGGCGTGTTTCATTATGTGTGACAGTGCATTTGTGCCACGCTTTACACCCCCTCAGTTTTCATTGATCGTCTTTATGGTTCTAGGCTTTACATTTAGGCCCTTAATCAATCCCGAGTTCGCTTTTGCACGTGGACTGAGATGGGTCCTCTTTAATCCTTCTGCAACGGGAAACCCAGTTTCGCCAGCACCACTTGCTATAAAGGTAACATCTTCTCCCTACTTAATGTGTTTGTCAAAGATCTGTTGTCTGGTGGAGGATGGATTTACTTCTGGGTTCTCCATTATGTCCCACTGGTCTCTCTATCAGCCACTTGCACGAGTAGCAGGTTAGTAAGACTGCGGTGGCTCTGTAGTAGGTTTTGAGATTGGGAAGTGAGAGGTTTTCTACCTTGTTATTCTTCTTTGGTATTGCTTTGCTTGGCCAGGTTATCTTTCCTTTTTATACCAAGTTGGTGATTAGTTTCCCATCTCTTCTAGAAGGAGACTGGAGTTGGGATTGCATTAAATCTATAGATTCCTTTGGATAATATTGACATTTTTACAATGTTAAGCATTCATATCCATGAACATGGTATATTTTTCCAGTCATGTAGGTCTCTTTTATTTTCACACAGTCTAATGCCTTGGCAGAGTTAATGAAAACACAAGTAAAACTCTTTCCGGTATTCTCTGTTTTCAGTCAAGATCCATCCGATGTCAGCAATGGTATCCCTCGCTCCACATCCTCTTCTGAATCTAACCTGAACCTCTGGCAGCTCCTTGGCAATGAACTGCTGCAACCGTTGTTGGATGATCTTCAGCAAGGTTTTACTTGCATGTGGTATCAATGACACTGCTGGGTACTTTGAGCATTCTGTTGGGTCAGTGCTTGGAGAAGGACATTATGCTCAATAGAGTGGAGGGGCAGTGAAAGAGAGGAAGGCCTACGAGATGGCTGGACACCGTGCTGCACCAATAGGCTGGCGCGCAGGAACAATCGAGGGCATGGCGTGGGACTGGGCAATGCTCGGTCCAGTGTGCACGGGTCCCCATGGGCTAGAATGGGCTTGATGACACTAAACAACCGCTTTCGTTTTCTTGTGCTAGTGCTTTGTAGTTTTCCTTATAGAGGTTGTTTGGTTTCTCAAATTAGATTTATTCCTCGGCATTCAATCTCTTGAGTGGCTTTTGCAAGTATCTTGTTTTCCTGATTCCCTTTCGAGAGATCTCTTTGTTAGTATAAAGTCATCAAGTGAGTTTTGTATGTTGACCTTGTACCCTGCCACATTACTTTTTCACCAGTTAGTTCTAACAATTTTCTGGCTGAGTCTTTGGGATTTTCTATATAGAGACTCATACAATCTGTAAACAGAAAGTTTTACTTCTTTGCCAATTTGGATGCCTTTAATTTCCCTGTCTTACCCGATAGTTCTGATAGTTCTGTACAATATTGAATAGAATAGTGAATAGAAGTGTTTACCCCATTCACTTGATCCAATGCTCTCTTTCTGCGTGTGTGTATATACAAACGGTATGCACACTAAATGGTATGTACGATTTATAAATACTGTATATACTTGTGTATAAGCTGAGTTTTCCAGTACATTTTTAATGCAGTTTTTGTGGTAAAATTAGGTGCCTCAGCTGATATTTGGGTCAGCTTATACTCGAGTATATATGGTAATTTTTTTTCCTGATTTATTTGAGAGGGAGTTGCTTATATGATGGTTCTTTACCCCAAGATAGTGTATATTTCCTAAATGAGGATTATTCTCTCAACTAATTACAATAATCAGCTGGATTACATTTCAGATTGATGTTAACCCCACAATGTCCTGTGTAGCATTTTTAATTTAATTGCAGCTTTTATTTTTTTCAACCTTGAAAACGTGTGAATGCACAGAAAGTTCACGACACCCAGAGTCTAACAATTTTCTGTGATTTCAACCTCTTGGGCACGACATACATTCACATGTTGTCTGCTAGCTGTACTTCATTTTTAGGTCGATTTTAGATTGAGATAGATTCCGATTTTCGATAACCTTTTTAATGACCTGTTGACTTTCGATTGAGCACAGGCTACCATTCTTGGATGTTGTTTGCACTTGGTTTGCTGAGAGGCAGATCAACCTGGATCCTTGGATTAGTTATAAAGGGTTAAGAAGGATCCTTTGTGGCACAAAGGTTTAGCACTGGGCTGCTAAGGAAACGGTTGGTGGTTCAAACCCACACAGTGGCTCCTGGGGAAAAAGACATCCTAGAAAGAAAACCCAGAGAGAGTTCTACTGTCACATGGGGTCACCGTGACTTGGATTTGACTCAGCAGTAGCCAACAACATGAAACGTTCAATGGAAGGCCTGTTAATGACGTCCTACGTTGCGTCAACAAAGGGACAAGTTTGAGACTTGCTACATTGACCACTGCTGGGTCCTTAGTTCCCTCTCTAACATGCTGCCGTCCTTCTGTCTTGCATATAGAGCCCCCTCACCAGCTCGGGCGCTGTACCGTACCTTGAATTCCTGTCCAAGTTCGGTGGAGTGGACCTAAATGTCAATGTCACAAAGAGGTGAGTGGTTTGATCGCTCACATGGAAATGTGGGAATTTCAAACAGTGAGCTAGAGCCATGACAATGGCATTAGACCAATGGCAGAGCTCAACAGAGTTGCCTTGACTTCCCAGGCCGCTCACATTTTCTCTCTGTCAGAGTGCATGCTAACCACTTGTCTATCACGCTAGACCCATGGAAAATATTCAAGTTTCCCAGATTTCCTTCTCTCGCAGCTTTCTGCCTTACACAGGCTTTTGCACCTTTTACTACTTATGGAAGAGTGAGCTCTGGTGGCGTTGTGGCTAAGTGCTTGGGTGCTAACCAAAAGTTTGATGGTTCAAACTCGCCAGTTCCTCTGCAGGAGAAAGACATGGCAGTTTGCTCCTGTACAGATTCACAGCTTTGGGAACCCTGTGAGGAAATCCGTCTGTCCTACAGAGTGGCTGTGAGTTGGAAATGACCTGATGGCAACGAGTTTGGGTGTTTTTTTGGGGGGGGAGGGAGGGTCATGTTGGTAAAGGAGCCCTGGTGGTGTTGTGGTTACGCACTGGGCTACTAACTTCAAGGTCAGTAGTTCAAAGCCACCAGCTGTGCTGTGGGAGAAAGACCAGGCTTTCTACTTCCGCAAACAGTTACAGTCTGGGGAAACCCACAGGGGCAGTTCCACCCTGCCTTATAGGGTCACTGTGGGTCAAAATCGACTCAATGGCAGGGAGTTTAGTGTTTAGGGTTCTGTGGTGGTAAATTACATCAGATTGACTGTAACTAATCCCAAATCAGCTTCTTGGTTGGAGAAGATTCAACCACCCACTAAGATCTGTTTCAGAATGTTTTGAGAATGATGATGACAACCAATGTACCAAACTGCTTGACACAATGGATGGATGGATTGTGATAAGAGTTGTACGAGCCCCCAATATAATGATTAAAAAAAAATTTTTTTAAGATCTGTTTCAGAATAAGAGAAGGAATGCTGTCCTGAAAACAAAACCACAGCCATTGAAACCAGTGTGACGATTTTCTATGCAAAGAATTCAGATGTTGAAATCATGCATTTTTAACTTCAAAGTTAAAAAAATGAAGCCGCCAAATTAAAATGTGTTGGTTCTCATACATTTTAAGTGTTGCTCATTAGAAAGGGGTGATGTTTTGGCGGCTAAAGTGAATATACATATGTGTATCAGGCTTTTATAAAGGCCTTTGAGTGAGCTCCAGTCTGGCTCCATCGTGAGCAAACCTGAGATGCTCGTTAGCTTTGTAAGATGAGGGAGGGGAAAGAAGAGGGCCTTTAATCCCTCTATCACCGGTAAAGGTCTTTGATTCTGAGGTATGTTTTAGGAACTATCCTCTCATTTAACAGTCGCTCAGCTTAGCTGACTCTAAACGAGCAAGCATCCTTTTCTTGGAAGCTGCGTCACTGGTTTGGGGAATCGAAGTCTGTGCTGAACGAGAGCAGATTCTGGCATTTGGGGCTTCAGCGTGGTCTTTGTCTGCTGCAAAGAAAGTTTCTGCAAAGGCACCGGAAAGACCGGCTGGTCCCCTCCCCGGACGCAGACGCCTCTTTGTGCTGTTCCCCGAATGCTCAAGAGCTGGTAGGCAGAGTGGGTTTCCAGTCTCACTGCGCTTGCTCGGTGGCACCTTTGTGCTCCTGACCTAAAGCCAGCAGCGTTGGTGGGATGAAGTGGTTGGGTGGACAGTGACCTCATTAGAATAGTCTTTGTTGGGAAGGTTGTTTTTTTTCCCCTGTGAAACGCCAGCCTCCCCTCTAGTTTGAGGAGAAGATGATCCTGTCATTACAGGAAACATCAAAGGCTCAATATTTCAGCCCAATTTGAAAGGTGTGTGATTCACTCATGAGAAGGACTTGGCTCAGTCACTGGAGACAGTTCATGACAGCAGATAGAGGCTCCCTGGTGGTGGTGAGGTGCTGACTCGAGGCCCAATGTGCAACTGAGCAAAGCACTGTCCAGTCGTGCCCCAGCATCCTCACGCTCATCGCCACACGAGCCAATCATTGGTGTAGCCCCTGTGTCAATCCATCTCAACGAGGGCCCCCCACCCTGCTTACTGACCCTTTGGTTTACTAAGCTTGACGTCCTTCTCCTGGGACTGGTCTCTCCTGATCACATGTCCGAAGAATGTGAACTCAAGGCTCACCCTCCTCGCTTGCTTCTAAGGCTCCTTCCAGCTGTCCTTATTCCGGGACACATTTGCTCTCTTCTTTGGTAGCCCACGGCATCTTGCCAACACCATCATTCAAAAGCACCGACTCTCCTTTGGTCTTCCTTAGGCTTTTGCATGTGTATGTGGTCATAGAAAAGACCATGGCTCGGATCAGGCGTACCTTCATCCTCAAAGAGATGCATTAAAAAAAAAAAACATTTTAAAGAGGACTTTGCAGCCAGTGCATTTGTCCAATGCAACAAGTGGTTTGATTTCCTGACGAGGCTTCCAGGATGCTGACGGTGGCTCCAAGTACAGTGAACTTTGGGAACAACTTCAACCTTTTGTCCATTTATCACAGCACTGCATATTGGTCTCGTTGTGAAGATTCTTGCTTTCTTTGAGATGGAATCCACACTCAAGGCTACCTTCTTGGACTGTCATCAGTCAATGCTTCAAGTCCTCTTCACTCTCTACAAACAAGCTTGTGACATCTGCATATGACAGGTTGTTAATGAGTCTCCCTCCGATCCAGATGCTGCATTCTTCTTTATATAATATCGTTTCTTAGATTATTTGCTTGGTATAAAGATGGAATAGGTAGGATGAAAAGACACCTCGCTTGATTTTAAACCAGGCCCTCTCTCCCTAGTCTTGTTGAGAAACTGCCTCTTGATCTGTGTACAGGTTCCGCGTAAGTGTTCAGAAATCGACATTCTTCACCCTGTTGTTCCTCATTTGTTCTGATCCACACAAATGCCTTTGCATAGTTACTAAAATACAGGTCGACACTATGACCTTGAGACCAAAAGAATTAGATGGGATCCAGTTACTACAATCAACTGCTCTGGAAGGGATCACCCTTGAAGTCCTGGACAGATTGAGAGAATGCTGTGGAACAACACTCAGCACCACGAAGGCCATCAGGGTTCCTGGTCGGAGAGAGACTCGTGGGCCCTGAGGTGGTGGTCCTCAGCCTCTCATTGGGCTTGGCACTGCACTCCCTCCTGTGGCTACAATCTCAACCAAACGATAGACAGCTCTATAAAGGGAGTAACCACACGTCTTAAAAATAATTGACCATTTGGCATGAAGTAGGCAGCGATCACCCAAGGCCAAAGTTTGAAAGTTTTAAGAAAGCGGGCAGGATGGAGACAGGAAATGCAGCCGGTGGGGTGCGTGGTGTTACCTTGAGGGGACTACAGTGAACGAGATGAAACCAAATGTGCGTGAGCCATTGAACGTCCCTCCGATGACCCGCTTCTGTAAAGTTTCATTCCATTCGCAGTAAAATGTGAAAAGAAATAAATAAGATAGCGGAATTTTCCTACAAAATTTTGGAAGCCCCGTCCTACTCTGGATACCAAACGTTTACAAACCCAAACCACCTCCTCCTCCCATCTCCTCCCCACAGGGCCAGGATGGCAGCTCTCCTCCTCCCCAACTGTGATCTCCCTTTGCTTTGTTGGGAAGTTTTCCCATGGAGCGGGTCACAGTGCCCGGGCTCCACATTGCTCATCCGTCCACCAGCGCACCCATGTCCCAGCCCCGAGTCCGTCCCTTTGCTGTCCCAGTGCACACCTGCTGTTCTCGGTGCCCATGTGCAACTATCACTGGCAGCAGGCCTTCCAGGAGCGGGGATGATGTCTCGCTGCCCCCATGCCGGGATCCTGGTGTGTAGGGAGCACGTGATGAATCCTGGGATGTGAGGGAGCACCGGCTGTGCCCCCACTCCCACAGCCCCCCACACTCTGCCCTGTGACCCAAAGAGGGAGGACGCTGCAGTGGTCCACGCTGGTGAGTCGCTGCCAAGTCCAGTGGGACACTGTTCAGCTCCGACACACCCCGGGGGCTGGAAGTGGTTTCTCAATGGACAGATGGCGCAAGGTACACCGAGTTAAGTTGCTAAGAAAAAGCAGAGAGAGCCAGCAGTATGGCTCACACGCACGCACACACACATACCCACACACATACACACTACACACCCCATGGAGTCCTTTACAGGGGGCAGCAGCATGGACCCTGAGCGGAAACCTCATGGAACACAGGGCTTGAATCCCAGTGCCACCACTTACCCACGGGGCTCTTGGGCTACCTCAGCCTCTACCTCTCTGAAGTGGGTATGACGCCAGCACCTGCCTCATGGGGTGGTGGGTTGTGAGGGTTAAAAAGCAGACCCCTGTTCAGTCCTGGTACCTCGTGAGTGCTCATTTTGCCTCCACTCGAATGGTTGATGCAGCAGGAGAAAGCAGGGGTGTTCAACTCCCGTCCAGAGTGTCAGTGTCGGGAACTCCCAGAGGCAGCTCTCCCCTGTCCTATAGCTTTGCTGTGAGTCCACATCCACTCCAGGCAGTGAGTTCATTTGTTTTTCAGGATGGTTTAGAGGGAGCTTTGGTGGCACAGTAAAGCTAAGTATTGGACTGCTGACCACGAGGTCGGAGGTTCAAACTCACCAGCTGCTCCTGGGGAGAAAAATGAGGCTGTCTGCTCCATAAAGATTGAGTCAGGGACACCCTAAGAAGTAGTTCTACTCTGTCCTGTAGAGTTGCTGTCGGTCGCAATCCACTCAACTTCAGAGGCTTAGAACCCAAACCAAACTCACCACCATTGAGTGGATGCTGACTGCTTGGGACCCTACAGGACAGGGTAGACCTGCCCCTCTGAGTTTCCAAGACCGTGGCTCTTAATGGGATGAGAAAGCCCCGTCTTTCTCCCGAGGAGTGGCTGGTGGTTTTGAACTGCTGATCTTGCGGATCGCAGCCCACCACATAACTGCCGTGTGTTACAGTCACTTCATCCCCACACTCTCCTGTGAAAAACAAACGCCTCGTTTGCTCTCATAGATGAGGACACAAGTGAGGTGGCCGAGCATACGCCTCAGGCCCACAGGGGAGCAGAAGAACCCCCACCACTTAAAATGGGTTTATTTAAAGACCCTTCTGATTTTGATCTGTGTCCATTAGAGGTCAGCATCTCATGTGGTTCACACCACACATTGTAACCCAAAGCCATTTGTCTTTCCCAGGGCCTCTGAGAATGACATGGGCCAGTCCCGGACGTTAAATGAACTCGAGGCCCAGCTGGGAGACAAGGTGAGAGAGAGAGAGCGAGAGCGAGAGAGAGCCTCTCAGAGCTGGTGCCCTAGTGGCACAGGGGTTAAGTATTGGGCTGTTATCCCAAATGTCTATGGTTCCAACCCACCAGAAACCCTCGACAGTGACAGCGGGGGCTCCTCTGTCTGGGAGACCGGCAGGGAGTCTAATGGGCTCGAGGGCAGTGGGTGTGGCTTTAGCTGGTGCACAGAGATAAATGCTGCCAGATGAGCTGTGGCCTGTCCGCGAGCCCTTGGTCAGTCCCTGGACTCAGTCCACCCGCTCAGAGCTGGCAGCGTGGCCTCCAGGGCTTGGGGGAGGCTTAAGGCAAGCCCCAGAAGTCTCAGGGTACACATCATCGGCAGGGTGGCCCTTTCTGAGTCTCTCCAGGCCAGGGGGACCTGGAAGCAGGTTCCCTGTCAGCATGCCTATAGAGAGCAGCCAGTTCAGGATGAGTAGCCCTGCGTGGTGTGCTGGGAGTGGGCCACAATGGCTGAGGTTCCTGATCAGGGGGCTTCTGGCCAGCCCAGCATGGCACTGTCAAGGGTGGGGCGGGGGTGGGGGTGACTGGGCTGCTGGCTTGAGAGGACTGCAAGTGAGCGCCTTGGAAAAGACGCTGTAGCCTGTCAGTTATATGAGCAGTTTGCAGCGCCTGGCTTAATTGACTGGATTCCATGTGTTGATTTGAAACCGGCCACATTTCCTCTCCTTTTTTTGGAATGCTTCTGAGATTTTCATCCATTTCCAAATCAGAAATAGCCCGAAAGCCACAAACTGTTTGTCTAAATTGCCTTGACTGATGCCATTAGCAGCAGAAATTTCATCTTACTGGGGTCTTTTTCCCTCTCCCTTTTCAACGTTGTGTGCTCCTAAAAACCCACTTTTACCGTCATTCATATTCTATTACAGTTCGTATTATGGCTGCTTCTGTTAGGGTCCCTTTGTCACTCCGTGAGAAGGGTGTAATACGATGGATAGTATGTGTTTAGGGAGTTTGTCATTTATCTGCCCCTGCACAAATGGTGTGCAGCCTGAAACAGCCCCAGGAAAGGCAGCTCTGGGTGGCCGTGGTCAGATCCATACGAATACTATTGGGCTCAATAGCATGGTATTTCAGGGTGAATGGGGGCTGTGGGGATGGACCAGTGTTACAGATCCCCAGAAATCAGCTGGAATGAGCAAATCTAAATGGCCCATTCCCCGCGCGTGCATCCCGTTACCTTTTTTATTCCAGCTTCCCCCCACACCCCCCCTCATCCCCCAATGGAAACCCTCCTCACCACTAAGTGTAGTTGCAAACCAAGGCAGCTTTTACGCTGGGCAGCAGTGAGCTGAGTGAGTGCTCCATCGAGTGCTCCTCTGCCTTGTGGGCCTGACCAGCATCCACAGCAGGCAGCACCAAGTCCACCTCTTACCCGGGAGGCAGGAGGGGTGGGCGAGCCTGATCTCGCTGGCTTCAACCTCAGAGCCCTCTCATTTACTAACCGGAGAGCTTTGGGTTAGTCCTGGTCATTAGGTTTCCTGATCAGTTAGAGGGGACACCATCGCCCCCCTTGCAGCACTGGTGTGCGGCTTGACAATAGCACGCGTGGAGTGCCCGGGCACTCTTTAACCCGCCCATCCTTTAGGACTGTGAAGAGCGCCTAGGCTTCCTTTGACAAGTCGGTGAGAGAACACATCCCTTTCCATGCCCCAAGGCAAACCACACACACACACACACACACACACACAAACACGCGCGCTGCTCAGCTGTTGGCTGTGGGCGGGGCACAGCCCCAGAGAAGACCCTGGAGTGGCGCTGGCTGCAGAGGGTCAGTACGGATGCTGGGGGCCGAGAAGAGCAGCTGGGAGGCCCTCCAGCCAGGTCCTCCTCCCACAGCTGCAGTCGCCAGCTGGGAGAGACGTGGCTGCTTTTGACTTCCCACGGGGATCCCCGGGCTCCTGTGAACTGGAGTGACTGGAAAGGACGCAGAAGGTCCAGAGAATGTCCCTCAACTCACCAGTGGCTTCGTCTCTCTCCACCCACCCATCGTCCTCTGTGGGAACCCCAGGCGGATCACTCGTACTCCCCAGGGTTTCCTTCTACAGCCAGCTTGGTCCTTGGCTGGTTCCTCAAGCCCTCGGCTTTCCCATGCCCACACGCCTGCCAGTGATGGTCCCATCACTCACTAGCCAGTCAGGTCCCAGGCCTCTGATCTCGTTTCCTCCATCAGTCAGGAGGAAGCCGGTGGGATGGCATGACTAGGATGTGTGCAGGTTGTGGACCATGCAGGCTGACACTGTAAGGGGAGGCACCAAAGAGGCTGTCTATAAAACTTCTGTCCCATGTTTCAGCAGATGTGTGTGACTGTAGTTATACATTTGTAGTTAGTTAGAACCACAAGCACTTTTTTCATAAGCCCGTGTCACATGCACCAGTAGACCTACAAGGCTAAAATCTGTGCTTCTTTCATCTCTCAACCTTCGGATGTGCCCACCCCCTCCTACGTTAATTTGCCACACTAGCGGCTTGCATATTGCTGTGATGCTAAAGCCATGCCACTGGTATTTCCAACACCACCAGGGCCACCCATGGTGGATGTGGCGGTTACATAATCTGCTATCAATTTGAGACTTACCAGTGAAGGGGTGGAGTTTAGCCTGTCAACCAGGTCTCAGCTTGATGACCTCATTTGGAGGCGTGAAGGAGAGAAATAGCTCGTTGGAAGCAGGACACAGGCTGACCTCTCTGGGAGACATTGCAATTGACAAGACACTTGGAGCTATACTAGAACCCCAGAGCTGAAGGAACCACGTGGAGACCCCTGCCAGCACTAAGATTCTTCCACTGCCACTGGATCCGCAAGACTTTCCACCCACTGGCCTGTGATCTTCCTGCATTCAATGTCATTGTATGTGTTTCATGAGTCTGAAGAGGACTTTATAGATTGGTATTGGGCATATGGGCTAATATCAGGCTTATGGACTTGATCTGGACTGGGATGTTGTCTCAGTGTTCAATTGTTCTTGTATATAAAGCTCTTTCTTATACACCTATGAGTGTCTATGAATTTGTTTCTCTAGTCTGCCCAGACTTACACAGTGGACAAGTTTCAATGGAGCTTCAAGATAAAAAGAGGCTAACGAAGAGGAGGAGGTGATCCCGTTCGGAGGAATTAGCCAGAGAAACCGTATCCATAGCAGTGGGGCAGCGTCAGATACAGTGGCAGGAGGTGAGCCCCTCAGGCTGGAAGGCACTCAAAGTAGGACTGGGGCAGAGCTGCCTCCTCAAAGTAGAGTTGACCATAAGGCCATGGACGGGGGAGAGCCTTGGGGACCTGCGTTCTGTCCTGGGGCAGGCCGTACTCAAAATGAGAAGGAATAGCTGCAAGTGTCCACTAGTAATTAGAATGTGAGCATACAAGCACGAATCTCGGAAAGCTGGCAGTCGTCAGAATTGAAAGGGAATGAATGAAGATTGGTATCCTAGGTATTAGCTGAACTGGAGTGGTCTTGGCCATTTTGAAATGGATAATAACCCGTGCTAGGCATGACGGGCCCAAGAGAACTAGTGTCACCTTCATCATAAAATGAACACTTCAAGGTCTGCCTTGATGTGCAACGCTCCATGTGCACCTCCATGTGCACCTATACACCCACGGAGAAGGCCAGTTAATCCAACTTGTCTGCATTTAGCAGCAAGCACTAAAGAGAGGGAGGAAGAAATTGAAGATTTTTACCAACTTCATCAGTCTTAAATTGATCGAGACGCATTGGTCACTATTGGTGATTGGAATGCAAATGTTGAAAACAGGAATAAAGAGGCAAAGTTGGAAAATATGGCCTTGGTGATGGAGACAAAGCTGGAGCGCTCAGATCGAAGTCTGCAAGCCCGATGACTTCATCGGAAACATCCTTTTCAACAACACCAGCCACAGCTGTACACGTGGACGTCTACAGATGCAACACACAGACATAAACTGGGCTGCGTCTGTGGGAAGAGACGATGGGGAAGCTCGGAGTCAGCAGCCAACACGAGGCCAGGGGCTAACTGTGGAACCAGACCATCCATTGCTCACCGGTAAGTTCCCATGGACGTTGAAGGAAACGAAGAACACAAGCCCATGAGGGTCAACATCTGGCCTCGAGCCTATCCCATCTGAACTCCCAGACCATCTCAGGGACCGATTTGACTCGCTGACCACTAACGGCAGCCAGCCCGATGAGCTGCTGGAGGACGCCACGAGCATCATAGGCGCAGAAAGCAAAAGGTCATTAGGAGAAAGAAAAGATCAGCGCGGACGCCAGAAGAGACTCTGAAAATTGCTTTTGCTCGTAGACAAGCCAAGGCAAACGGAAGGGATGACGTCAAGAACTGAACAGAACATCGCAAAGGGCAGCTCACGCAAAGTCAAGTATTGCAATGAAATGCGCAAAGACCTGGAGGTGGAAAGCCACAAGGGAAGGGCATGCTCGGCGTTTCTTAAAATGAAAGACGTGGAGAATAAATGCATGTTCCCCGTTGCAATATTAAAGGGTTCTTCGGGTCGAGCTCGTGAATGATGCAGGAAGCATCCGAGAGAAGATGGAGGGAATACACAGAGGCGCTGCGCTCAACAGGATCGACCAATGCTTCATCACGTCAGTGGCTAGCTTATGGTCAAAACCAGGGTTTTACAAAAATACATAGACTTAGCTTTTATTATAAGATTAATTTACTCCTGGGCCAAATGTGTCTTCAGTTTCTTTTGGGATGTCTTTTTCTTCTGTGAAACTGCCTCTTTTTCAGGAAGGATCACTCCAGTGTGGCCGGGGAGCTCATGCATGGATCGATCCGATCCGACCATGAGCTCTGTAAGTCCCGTGGCACACCTTGGATGCTTTGTTCGCCTGCATGTGCTCACTGACCAGAGAAGATCCACATCTAAGCCCCTGAGCCCAGCCTTGCTTTCTGTGTTCTTAACCATATGCAGCAAATGCCCAGCACTCTTCTTGGGGCCCTGACCCCATGCCGAGCCCCA